GTTTATACAATTATCATGACCATCCAATTCGGCTTTTTCTTTTCCTGCTTAATTATCCCATCATCTTATTGAGTTATCATCACTACCAGATGCTAAGATAGTTCCTTCTGGTGAAAAGCAGACTGACCATACCCTATTAATATGGCCAACTAATTAGGCTTTTACTAATCCTGTTTTAACATTCCATAATCGGATTGAGTTATCATCACTACCAGATGCTAAAGTATTTCCATCTGGTGGAAAACATACTGAGTTGATACAATTACTATGACCATCCAATTTGGCTTTTTCTTTTCCTGTTTAAGCATCCCATAATCGAATTGAGTTATCATCACTACCAGATGCTAAAATAGTTCCATCTGGTGAAAAGCTGACTGAGTTTATACTGTTACTATGACCAACCAATTTGGCTTTTTCTTTTCCTGTTTAAACATCCCATAATCTGATTGAGTAATCATCACTACCTTATGCCAAGGTAAATCCATCTGGTGAGAAGCATACTGACCATATTCTTCCACTTTTACCATCAAATTATGCTTTTTCTTTTTCTGTTTTAACATCCCATAATCGGATTGATTTATTATCGCTACCAGATGCTAAAGTAGTTCCATCTGGTGAAAAGCATACTGAGTTGACGCAATTACTATGACCATCTATTTTGACTTTTTCTCCTGTATTAACATACCATAAATAGATTGAGTTATCATCGCTACCAGATGCTAAAATTTTTCCATTTGGTGAAAAACAAACTGATCTAACATAATTACTATGTCCTTCCAATTTGGATATTTATTTTCCTGTTCTAATATCCCATAAAAGGATTGATTCATCACCACCTGAAGCTAAAGTTGTTCCATCTGATGAGAAGCATACTGATAGGACATGATCGTGACTATCCAATTTATTAAGTTTGCATATTTTAATGTTCTTCCACAGACAATTCAATAATAGTGCTCCATTTAGATTTACTCCACTCATATCGACATTTTAGAATTGAGATCCTTTAAAGTTGCATCCTACAAAATTTCCCCAATCAAACTAGTATCTTTAATCTTTATATTCTCCCATGATTAGTTAGTCAAATCAACCTTCATCTGTATTAATAGGTGTAAAGCATTTGATCCACATCTGATGAACTTCTTATCTAAAGCAGTGATTTGGACTAAGAATTTCAGAAATTCCTTGAGGTTACCATCATTTTGTATTTTCTTTGTAATGTCCCTCCTTACTGCTTCTTAACCTTTCAAGGAATAATCTTTTTTTATTAAAATCATGTTCTTCCAGATTTCTAAGAACTTCAGTCACCTTCTGGATTTTTCTTCTCATCTCCTCATTCATGTGCTTTAGGTTCTCTCTCTTTTGAAGAAATTCAATAAGATCTAGAATGTTCTATTTCTTCAACATCTCCAAAATATCTTTGAATATTGGTTCTTCAAGATCTTGGACATGATCTAAGATCTCTGATAGTTCTTTTAAGTGACGATAAGGCTCCACCTATTCTATTGGTCTATAAAAGATATATATATATTTGTTAACCTAATCTTGTTTAGTTCACCAGAAGAGACTTAAACTTGTATCTTTACTTTGATTGGTTACGGAACTGTAACCTTGTAGGATGTTACCAACTGACACTTTTTTTCTAAAAACTTGAATTCATTTTGAAAGGAATCCAAATAATGTATTATTCCATCGCAAGAATTCTAATATTAACATTTATAAATGCCTTACTTCCACCGTGGAGATCAACTCTTTGGCTATTTCTTTAAAAAGATTCTTCATGTCTTTTTATATGTTATTTAAATTAATGATATGGAAAAAAATGAATTTCTATTAAGTTTTATATGTAAACAATATCTTTATTTAATAAATTATATCTTTATGAATATAAATTAATTAAATGTGCCTAGGGATGTTATATGAGATTGTAGAAATTGCTCTGATAAGCGTGCATAATTTTAAATTAGATTGATATTGTTAAAATTAGTAAGTTAGAGGTAAGTAAGAAAAAAAAATTTAATGGTAGGGTGAGATAAGAGAGGAGTGATGCTAGGAGGATATAAAACAGCGCATTTGATAGAGACTGGTGAGTTCTGCTTAAATGGATTCAGAGCCTTCAGATGCATTATTTAGAACCTATGGCTCAGGCATAAATTAGATTCGCATTATTTGGATTATATAGGGTGCTTTTTTCAGTATAATTATGGTAATATGCTAGGTTGTCAAATTATAAGATCTGATAATGTTTAATATATGATTGTCATTGGAATTAGCATATAACTTAAATGCATCTCTATTTTTAATGTTATATCCTCATTATTTGGTATATATTAGTAATTGTGAAATTTAGGCATTTTTGTATTGAAATTTTGGTAACTTTTATTTTTATGATTTCTTTTTATGTTTATTACAAATATCTACTTATTTTTTTTATTTTTGCTTTGATTTGGTTTTAATTG